TTAAATTGAAAAATCAACAAATTGAAAAACTGAGAAATCGAGAAATCTAAAAACTGATGAATTTCAAAACTCAACATCCAAAAATTGAGAAATCGAAAAATCGAAAAATTGAAGAATTCCAAAACTGAACATCGAAAAATTGAGAAATCAAAAAATTGAAAAGTCGGAAAATCGAAAATTTAAAAAAACAAAAAAATTTAAAAATCAAGAACTTGAACAATCGAAAAATCGAGAAGTGAAAAAATAAAAAAATCGAAAAGTTGGAAAACCGTGAAATCGAAAAACCGATTCATCGAGAAATTGAATTTGAAAATTGGACAAATGGTAAAGTTAAAAAATCGAAAATTCAAAATTTAAAAAAATGGAGAATTCAAAATTTTCGAAAATAGAGAAATTCAAAAATTGAAAAATCCCGAAAGTGAAATATCGAAAACTTGATAAATCGAAAAGTTGAAAAATCAAAAAAATCGAAAATTAGAAAATTCAAACAATTGAAAAATCAAGAACTTGAAAAAATGTAAGAATTAAAAAATGTAAAAATTGAGTTATTGAAAAATCGAAAAATCTGGAAATCGGAACATCGAAAAACCGAGAAATGGAGAAATAGGAAAATCAAAAGAAATAAATGTCAAAAAAACGAGAAATCGAAAAATTGAAAAATGTAACACTAATAAATACAACGGATAAAAGAGAAATCGAAAAGTAAAAAATTGAGAAATCGTAAAAATCCCAAAAATTAAATATCGAAAAATTGGTAAATCGAAAAACTGGAAGATTCTAAAATTTTAAAAATCGATAAATTGAAAAATAAAGAAACTGAAAAATCAAGAAATCGAAAAATCGAAAATTTGAAGAATTCCAAAACTGAACATCAAAAAATTGAAAAGTCGGAAAATAGAAAATTTTAAAAAACAAAAAAATTTAAAAATCAAGAACCGTGAAATCGAAAAATCGATCATCGAGATATTGAAATTGAAAATTGGACAAATGGTAAAGTTAAAAAATCGAAAATTCAAAAATAAAAACATAGAAAAATCGTATAATAACTGAAATATCCGAAAATAGAAAAATTGAAAATTAAAAAAAATGGAGAATTCAAAATTTTCGAAAATAGACAAATTCAAGAATTGAAAAATCCCGAAAATAAAATATTGATTATTGATAAATCGAAAAATCGAAAACTCGAAAAATCAATGAGCCGAAAAATCACAAAAACGATATTTCTAAAATTTAAAAAATCATTAAATTGAAAAATCAAAAAAATTTAAAAACCGAGAAATCGAAAAATCGAAAAACTGATGAATTTCAAAACTCAACATCGAAAAGTTGAAAAATCAAAAAAATCGAAAATTAGAAAATTCAAACAATTGAAAAATCAAGAACTTGAAAAAATGTAAGAATTAAAAAATGTAAAAATTGAGTTATTGAAAAATCGAAAAATCGGGAAATCGGAACATGGAAAAACCGAGAAATGGAGAAATAGGAAAATCAAAAAAATTAAATGTCAAAAAAACGAGAAATCGAAAAATTGAAAAATGTAACACTAATAAATATAACGGTTAAAAGAGAAATCGAAAAGTAAAAAATTGGGAAATCGTAAAAATCCCAAAAATTAAATATCGAAAAATTGGTAAATCGAAAAACTGGAAGATTCTAAAATTTCAAAAATCGATAAATTGAAAAGTAAAAAAACTGAAAAATCAAGAAATCGAAAAATCGAAAATTTGAAGAATTCCAAAACTGAACATCAAAAAATTGAAAAGTCGGAAAATAGAAAATTAAAAAAAACAAAAAAATTTAAAAATCGAGAACCGTGAAATCGAAAAATCGATCATCGAGATATTGAAATTGAAAATTGGACAAATGGTAAAGTTAAAAAATCGAAAATTCAAAAATAAAAACATAGAAAAATCGTATAATAACTGAAATATCCGAAAATAGAAAAATTGAAAATTAAAAAAAATGGAGAATTCAAAATTTTCGAAAATAGACAAATTCAAGAATTGAAAAATCCCGAAAATAAAATATTGAATAATTGATAAATCGAAAAATCGAAAACTTGAAAAATCAAAGAGCCGAAAACTCGCAAAAACGATATTTCTAAAATTTTAAAAATCATTAAATTGAAAAATCAAAAAATTGAAAAACCAAGAAATCGAAAAATCGAAAAAATGATGAATTTCAAAACTCAACATCGAAAAGTGGAAAAATCAAAAAAATCGAAAATTAGAAAATTCGAACAATTGAAAAATCAAGAACTTGAAAAAATGTAAGAATTAAAAAATGTAAAAATTGAGTTATTGAAAAATCGAAAAATCGGGAAATCGGAACATCGAAAAACCGAGAAATGGGGAAATAGGAAAATCAAAAAAATTAAATGTCAAAAAAACGAGAAATCGAAAAATTGAAAAATGTAACACTAATAAATATAACTTAAAAGAGAAATCGAAAAGTAAAAAATTGGGAAATCGTAAAAATCCCAAAAATTAAATATCGAAAAATTGGTAAATCGAAAAACTGGAAGATTCCAAAATTTAAAAAATCAATAAGTTGAAAAATAAAAAAACTGAAAAATCAAGAAATCGAAAATTTGAAGAATTCCAAAACTGAACATCAAAAAATCGAAAAGTCGGAAAATAGAAAATTAAAAAAAAAAACAAAAAAAATTAAAAATCAAGAACTTGAACAATTTAAAATTGAAGAATTGAAAAATCGGAAAATCGAAACACCGAACAGTCGAAAAATCGAGAAATGGAAAAATCAAAAAATCGAAAAGTTGGAAAACCGTGAAATCGAAAAATCGATCATCGAGATATTGAAATTGAAAATTGGACAAATGGTAAAGTAAAAAAATCGAAAATTCATAAATAAATACATAGAAAAATCGTATAATAACTGAAATATCCGAAAATAGAAAAATTGAAAATTAAAAAAAAACGGAGAATTCAAAATTTTCGAAAATAGAGAAATTCAAGAATTGAAAAATCTCGAAAGTGAAATATTGAATAATTGATAAATCGAAAAATCGAAAACTCGAAAAATCAAAGAACCGAAAAATCGCAAAAACGATATTTCTAAAATTTAAAAAATCATTAAATTGAAAAACCGAGAAATGAAAAAATCGAAAAACTGATGAATTTCAAAACTCAACATCGAAAAGTTGAAAAATCAAAAAAATCGAAAATTAGAAAATTCAACCAATTGAAAAATCAAGAACTTGAAAAAATGTAAGAATTAAAAAATGTAAAAATTGAGTTATTGAAAAATCGAAAAATCGGGAAATCGGAACATCGAAAAACCGAGAAATGGAGAAATAGGAAAATCAAAAAAATTAAATGTCAAAAAAACGAGAAATCGAAAAATTGAAAAATGTAACACTAATAAATATAACGGTTAAAAGAGAAATCGAAAAGCAAAAAATTGAGAAATCGTAAAAGTCCCAAAAATTAAATATCGGAAAATTGGTAAATCGAAAAACTGGAAGATTCTAAAATTTCAAAAATCGATAAATTGAAAAGTAAAAAAACTGAAAAATCAAGAAATCGAAAAATCGAAAATTTGAAGAATTCCAAAACTGAACATCAAAAAATTGAAAAGTCGGAAAACAGAAAATTTAAAAAAACAAAAAAATTTAAAAATCAAGACTTGAACAATCTAAAAATTGAATAAGTGATAAATCGAAAAATCGAAAACTCGAAAAATCAAAGAACCGAAAAATCGCAAAAACGATATTTCTAAAATTTAAAAAATCATTAAATTGAAAAATCGAAAAACTGAAAAACCGAGAAGTCGAAAAATTTGAAAAATCGGAAAAGTTCTAGGCTAAATTTGTTTAGTTTTTGTTATAAGTTTAATGTATATATTTATTTATATTGGGTTGGTTGTCTTATTAGTGGAATTATGTTCTGTTAGACAATAAATACATTATTGTTATTATTAAAATGGGGTGGCTCGTTCTTAATTTGATCAATAATAAATTGACTGATTCATTAATTTTTTTGAGTCACCTGTTTTGTTTAAGCAAATCTAAAAAATATGAATGCAGTGATTAAAAGTCATATTTTGCACATTTGCGAAAGAATTTATTCGGCAAAATTTTGAGATGCCGTAATCAATTTTTTGGGGTTGATAAACAGATACATTTTCATTAAAAAGTTACCATGCTTACGATAACTTCAAAACGTCAAGATTTCAAAGTATTCATTTTTGCAATTCTTGGTTTAATCAATAAAATAAAATGACTTCAGGCATTAATTGTTTTCACATAACCCGTATAAGCAAATCTAAAAAATATTTATGCAGTGATAAACCACAATTATAGACTCATCATACTTTGCGCAATGCACACTTAAGATAGCATTTTTCGGAAAAATTTTGGGGTGACGTGATCAATGTTTTAGGGGGGGATGAGGAAATATAAAAAATTTACCATGCTTATGATAACTTTAAAACATCTCCAACATTTCGGTTTTGGTATAGGGGTCATGATAGGTCGAGAAAATGCAAAAGAAGAGAGTCGGCCGACGACGATTGCTCACGCTCGGGAAGTAATAGTCTTACGTCCTTACTTTAATGCCACTTACATAAGTAATTACCTATATTTTCCTGGAAATTTCTGGGTAGTCATGTAACAAACACTGGGGAATCCCAAATGGATCAGTACCATGCAATGAGATAAGTGCATTTACAAGTGTTGCTATTTATGAGACATTTCCTTACATCCATTAAACAGGAAAATGATCATCACCTAATCAAAGTATTATTTTACGGAATTTCCAACTTCAATTGAAAAATTAAACAGTGTGATCATCTCGCCCTTACAACTTCTCCAATTAACTACAAAATGAATTTAAATCGTCATCATGATTCAAAATGTTTGCTTATTTAGCTAATCAACCGCTAATAAAATCCTCAAGCAAACACGTTACGTAATCAAATCGCGGTTTGAAATAAACCCGCCCATAAACCCCCTAACTACTATAAAACCGTAGTAAACTGACTTTACAGATACACATTAGGTGATAATGAATGAGTTCGCAGGCTAGAAAATCCGCGTTCGTTATTTTAAGAACGGAATTTATTTTTGACACAACTGAGATCGACTCTGTGCTAAACGGTTGCATTGGCGGTGCGTTTATTTGATTCGGAGACGAGTTCTTGACTGACTTAATCTCTGTTATATCCAGAAGGTGAACAAGACGACCCCAAACTATAAATACTGATACAGAGACTCATTTTTGAGATTATTTCATGTTTTGTCGAAGACACACTACGCGCTTCGTTCTTAGTTTGACCAATGGCAGCTGAAAAGGTGGACCCAGCGGTGAGTTTTCATACCTGACTTAAGCTAAGTAAGATTGTCTTGTATTTTTAACCTTTTAAGTGTGACGTTCCGAGTTATTTTTGTTTGGAGGAGGTAGTCCAAATAATTGCATCACGGCTGAGAAAACATCGTTATCGTGGTTTTAACATTTCAAGAAATTTACGCGAAATTCGTACGTAGTGGTTGACTTTGTGGCGGCATTCATTTACGCATTTCTGAGCGATATTTGCAGTAACAATCTCTAGTCTGTATAAATAAGTGTTGAAACGTCATTATGTAACGACGATGACAGACAGTTGCTACATTTTCAGGTAAAAATAAATATTTATGTACGCGACATTGTTGCCTGATTAACGTTTTTTAGAATGCGGCTTATCTAAAATTGGTCCTCAAATTATTATTAAAATAGGCAGATACCCTTGTGGGCAAACAAATCACTTCATTTAGATTCTCACAATAAAAACCGAACAAGCCCTACTATCTACGAAAATGTTTACCAGCACTCGTGTTTTTGGTGCTGATACGAACGCACTTCCTGGTATTGATCTTTAGTCTTTCTAAACCACAGCACGAAAAATGGGTTACGTAAAACTCGTATAATTTAAAGCAATTTTTTTATTGTCATTTTTGTATAAGATTCCGTTTTATGCGTTTAGCAATAAAGTTGGTGGTTTCATCCCACGTAAGCTTTATTTTGCACATGACATAATTGTGTTGATTTTGATTAGATTAGATGTAATCTCAATTATTATTGAATAAAACAATATAGGGATGAGTGGTGTGTTTGCTCGAGATTATCCATTGATGGATCAAGACTTCAATTTTACAGGATTTGCGTGGCTATCTTAGGCTCTTAATCCCCAATAATACTTGGAAAAATGTTTTCGTCGAGTGTCAACAAGCTAAAAATAAAACGTTACAAAAAAATAGTAACCACTTGTTTATTATTGTTTAATATTTATTTTATGCTCTTGTGTCTTTACCTAAACATGTTTATTAATAATCGAACGCTGAAAAATGAAAGATAGACAAAATAAATTTTGAAATTGCTTAGACAACACACTTTTTATAGGTGTATCAAGAATTGCATAGACAAGCTAAAATTTTAGTAATTCAGTGAGCTAATTTTAAATTACGATAAGATAAACTGAAGATCAATCGTAAAGTATTTTGCACGAGAGGTCAACAAGAGACAAATTTCGCAGTTAAACTGCTAAATATGACAGAATTAGCACCACAATAAATTCGTCGTAACACTCATAACAAACAATTACATAACGTTGACCACAGCAAAACATCTTATTTACCAGTTTAAAAAAAAGGAAAAATTTTATTTGGTTATATGTAGTTATTTACAGTTAACTGTTAATTAAATGGCTATTAATGTTAATTAATTTTAGTAAATTTGACATAATTATAATTAACTGCGATTACCTAATGATTTGTCAAGGTACCGTACTGATTAATTAATTAATTATATAATTTACGACCGCCATTCCCTACAAGTTGTACACGATTTTTTTCTAAATGCATTTGTCAATAATTTTTCTACTTTTCAATCGTAAATTAAAGAAATATTGTAATCGAGTCGACGTTTCCGTCTGTCTGTCTGTCTGTCTGTCTAGGCATCCAGGTTTTTAGGGAAAAAATTATGTAACATTATTTTATGATTTAACTTTGAAAATAGAATGCTTTGAAATCTGCAAACTTTTTAAGGTTATCGGAAGCATGGTCAACCGGGAATCAAAATTTATCCGTTCATGCCCCTCCAGAAATTGATGACGTCATTCTACAATTGTAGAAATAAATGTTTTTTAAATGTTTCGATTTCTCAATTTTCCGATATTTCAGTTGTACGATTTTTCAATTTTTTTATTCTTCAATTTACGATTTTCTAATTTTTCCATTTTTCCAGTTTTCAGATTCAATTGCTCCATGAATCGAATTTTGCATTTCTCGATTTCTCGACTGTTCGATGTTTTGATTTTCCGAGTTTTCAATTCTTCAATTTTTAGATTTTTCAGGTTTTTGATTTTTTTCAATTTTTTGATTGTTTATATTTTCGATTTCCCGACTTTTCAATTTTTCGATGTTCGGTTTTGGAATTCTTCCATTTTTCGATTTCTCGGTTTTTCAGTTTTTTTATTCTTGATTTAATCGATTGTTTAAATTTTAGAATTTTCATTTTCTCGATTTTTCGGTTTTTCGATTTTTCGATTTTTCAAAATTTCGATGTCTCAATTTATTTTATTTTTCGATTTCTCGATTTTCCGAAATTTCAGTTACACAATTCTTCAATTTTTTATTCTTCAATTTTCGACTTTTTAATTTTCCTATTTTTGTATTTTTCCAGTTTTCAATTTCAATTTGTCGATGAATCGATTTTTCGATTTCACGATTTTTCAATTTTGCGATTTTTAAAATTTTCGATTTTCCGACTTTTTAATTTTTCGATGTTCAGTTTTGGAATTCTTCAATTTCCGATATCTCGGTTTTTCAATTTTTGATTCTTCAACTACGATTTTTCAACTTTGGAATTTTCATTTTCCCGATTTTTCGATTCTTCAATTTTTCGATTTGTCAATTTTTAAAATTTTTCAATTTCTTGATTTTCCGTTATTATATCAGTTTTACATTTTCCAATTTTCAAGTTTTGGGTTCCTAAGTTTTCGATTTTTTTATTTTTCTTATTTTCGAGTTTTGGATTTTCAACTTTCGATTTCTCAGTTTTTCGATATTTCGGTTTTGAAATTTTTTGATTTTTTGATTCTTCAGTTTTCCGATTTTTCAATTTCTCTATTTTTCAAATTTGTTTTCTCAATTTTTTTTATTTTTCGATTTCTCGATTTTTCGATATTTCAGTTCTACGATTTTTCAATTATTTTACACAATTTTCGATTTTTCCATTTTTCCAATTTTCGATTTCAATTTCTCAATAAATTTTGAATTTTTCGATTTTCCGATTTTTCAATTCTTCGATTTTTAGAATTTCAGATTTTTGATTTTTAAATTTTTTAATTTTTTATATTTTCGATTTTCCGACTTTCCAATTTTTCGTGTTCACTTTTGGAACTCTTCAATTTTTCGATTTTTTGATTTCTCGGTTTTTCAATTTTTTGGTTCTTCAATTTAACGACATTTTTAAAATTTTAGGATTTTCGTTATATTGATTTTTCGGTTCTTCGATTTTTCGATTTTTGAATTTTTCGATTTCTCAAATTTTTTATTATTCGATTTCTTGATTTCTGTTATATCAGTTTTACATTTTCCAATTTTCAATTTTTGTCGTTTCTAAATTTTCAATTTCTGATTTTTCTCATTTTCGAGTTCTCGATTTTTCAACTTTCAATTTCTCAATTTTTCGACATTTCGATTTTTTGGAATTTTTTGGTTTTTTCATTATTCAGTTTTTCGAGTTTTCAATTTTTCTATTACTTCATTTTTTCGATATTTTAGTTTCGGGATTTTTCAAATCTTCAATTTCTCTATTTTTCAAATTTTTGTTTTTTCATTTTTTTTTATTTTTCGATTTCTCGATTTTCCGATATTTGAGTTCTACGATTTTATTTATTATTTCACACAAATTTCGATTTTTCGATTTCACGCTTTTTCAATTTTTCGATTTTCCAATTTTTCGATTCTTCAATTTTTAGAATTTTCAGGTTTTTGGTTTTTCGATTTTTTTATATTTTCGATTTCCCAACTTTTCAATTTTTCGATGTTCATTTTTGAAATTCTTCAATTTTTCGATTTCTCGGTTTTTCAGTTTTTTGATTCTTCAGTTTAACGATATTTTAAATTTTCGAATTTTCGTTATCTCCATTTTTCAGTTCTTCCATTTTTCGACTTTTCAATTTTTGAATTTTTTAATTTTTCAAATTTTCGATTTCCCAATTTTTGTTACTTTTCGATTTCTCGAGTTTCCGAAAATCAGTTGTAAATTTTTAAAGTTTTTAATTCCTCAATTTTCAAACATTTTTAATTTTTCCACTTTTCCAATCTTCAATTTTTGGCGTTTCTAGGTTTTCGGTAAGCCGATTTTTCGTTTTTTTTTGACATTTTAATTTTTTCGATTTTTCAATTTTTCAATTTTTCGATTTTGCGATTTTTTAAATTTTCGATTTTCCGACTTTTCAATTTTTCGATGTTCAGTTTTGGAATTCTTCAATTTCCGATATCTAGGTTTTTCAATTTTTGATTCTTCAATTACGATTTTTCAACTTTGGAATTTTCATTTTCCCGATTTTTCGATTCTTCAATTTTTCGATTTGTCAATTTTTAAATTTTTTTAATTTCCTGATTTTCCGTTATTATATCAGTTGTACATTTTCCAATTTTCAAGTTTTGGTGTTCCTAAGTTTTCGATTTTTTTATTTTTCTTATTTTCGAGTTTTGGATTTTCAACTTTCGATTTCTCAGTTTTTCGATATTTCGGTTTTGAAATTTTTTGATTTTTTGATTCTTCAGTTTTCCGATTTTTCAATTTCTTTATTTTTCAAATTTGTTTTCTCAATTTTTTTTATTTTTCGATTTCTCGATTTTTCGATATTTCAGTTCTACGATTTTTCAATTATTTTACACAATTTTCGATTTTTCCATTTTTCCAATTTTCGATTTCAATTTCTCGATAAGTCGATTTCAGGCTTTTTGAATTTTTCGATTTTCCGATTTTTCAATTCTTAGATTTTTAGAATTTCAGGTTTTTGCTTTTTAATTTTTTTTTTTTTTATACATATTTTCGATTTTCCGACTTTCCAATTTTTCGTGTTCACTTTTGGAACTCTTCAATTTTTCGATTTTTTGATTTCTCGGTTTTTCAATTTTTTGATTCTTCAATTTAACGACATTTTTAAAATTTCAGGATTTTCGTTATATTGATTTTTCGGTTCTTCGATTTTTCGATTTTTCAATTTTTCGATTTCTCAAATTTTTTATTATTCGATTTCTTGATTTCTGTTATATTAGTTTTACATTTTCCAATTTTTAATTTTTGGCGTTTC